TGCTTTTGGTAACTGTGGAGGTCTGCAGCTCAGAATGAAGAAAAATATGTTTTAGGTGCCTGAACTACAGTCTGAAAACATGGGAAAAGCATGCACATTTGTTAGGAAACAAAGAGCCTCATCGACTCTAAACAATCTCAGCTTGAATCCCTTCAGGATTTATACACATTCACTTTCTGTCCAGTGAAGGAAGCTGGTAAATGGTGCATTGTGAGCTGCTGCAGAATTGTGTAGAAAACAGTGAGAAAAATTACTAAATTAATCATGAAGTCCTCGCTGAATGGAACATTCAGACTACTTAAAGTTATTCAAAATAAAAGGTGTGAAGTACATTTAGATGAAGCGAGAGTAAAGAAGGCTGAAACTTCACCATCAGTGAATAAACTTTCACTGAGCATTTAAAATAAATAAAAAAGTAACTGCCAAATTATCACCAACAGATGAAATGAGAGCGAGTCTTTACAGAACAGATGGTTGGAGATGTGCTCTGTTTTTAATGGATACAAAGCACCACTTAGAACTTGAGCCTCTGTCGTCATAGACGAGATAGATAGACTTTTTCATGTTGGAGATGGACTAAAAAACAACGTCTGAGTCTGTTGACAGTTTCTGGATGATGATTCCTCTAAGTACTAGTGCAAATTTAGCAGAAATTAAGATTTCATCTTCAGTATATTATGACTTTTTATTTCTTTTTAAATCTTTATGTATATGATGCAATTAAACCAGTTTTACTTCAGTTTGTGTTCTTTTTTTTACACCACCTTGATTCAACTTGTTTTATGTTAAATATTAGAGAAGCACCAATTTGAAAATGTATGCCGATATCGATGTCTAGAACCATATTAATAACTCTGTTATACCCGATGACCGATATTTACTGATATTACATTAATATAAGAAGGAATGTCAGAAAATATCAATACACTGAAATATTGCGATATTTTGTGTAATGATAATGAATCGATATTTAAAAGCAGGTGTATCTTTTTTTATTGAGACTTTACACACAAACGTTTACTGTATTTCTTCCCCATCAAGTATGCATAAATTAGATTAGATTGGATACATCGTGTCGTGAATCTTAAGGATTAAAATGTTGCTATGTATTTAGTGTGTGCAGAGTTTGGATAAAAACAAGGCTGAAGTGGTGAAGTGAAAACAGATAAACTGTGTTTAAAGTAAAATGATCAAATTACAAGAACAGAACTGGTGCCAGCTCTATGGTTGTTCTACTTTATTTCAGTTTTAAAGGAATAACCTCATGACTTAAGACTTGACTAAGAGGCATTAAGCTGAATATGTGAATGTGTGAAAGAAACTCCCTTTATGCTATTTTCACATACGTTTATACTGTTCAATTGAGGTTAAACTTTCAACTTAAAAAATTTATTAATAAAGTGATTCTTAAAGACTGGATTCATGTCATTCTTCAAGTGCATACTATATATGCTGTTTGCTTTACAAATAAGTGCAGAGCTAACAGCCTTTGAGCTCAGCTTATGCTAAAACTCCTGAGTGTGTCCAGACCCTTTGATCACGCTACTATTGGGCATTGGGGTCGCCTATTATTCTCCATAACGTTTTAAACATTAGGTCATTTTTCTGCCGTAAATGGAGGGGAAAACATACTAGTTACATACGAGGAGCTGTTCAAATTCCAAACACTTCAAATCATTAAATGTTAGCATTTGAGGCTGCAGACAGACTCGTGTATGTCACATCTCAGCCTTGACAGCAACCCTACCATCTCTGAACCACAACAGAAACTAAACACACCTTTTCTGATCAACACAAAGCATTCCCTCTTGTTTCTCGTTGATGCAGCATGAATTTAAATGAGCCAATTAGTGTGTGCTTTTCCCCTCGGTGTGGAGTTCACACAGTCTTTGATTGAGACTCAGCAGCACAGTAGTACAGCAAAAATTTGAGCTACCCTTTAGGCCACAGGGCTGAATGGCTGAGCGCCATATAATTTATGGTATAGATTTATCCGGAGATGATGGTGTACTGGAGATTTGTTAATGATTGTGGATGTTGCTTCTTCAAAAATTTTTAGATGTGTCCAAAAGTCGCCCACTTTTATTTTAGTTTTAGCTGCAAATGAAGTGATTAATATTACATATTAATTATTTGCTTTTAGAAACAATTTTAACATTAACGGATGGATGACTGGTTATGCAAAGATTTTTAAAATATCAGTTTTCTTTTCAAATTATTTGCTTTTTATATTATTTATAATCCTGCAAAAATCCTGCTTTCCTTTTCTCACCATACCGTACCGTACCATACCATACCATACCATACCATACCATACCATACCATACCATACCATACCATACCATATACAATACCATACCAAAAATATACCAAACCATACCATACAATTCCATATACCATAAACCATACCATACCATACCATTCCATATACCATAAACCATACCATACCATACCATACCATACCATACCATACCATAGCATACCATACCATATGTTATGTCCCCGACAGGAGGTGTTAAAATGTAAAGGAGGGGGCAACATAAGAAATGCAACAGTGGAGTTAAAATGGGTTTAATTGTTATAAAAGGTTAAAAAAAAAACAAGTGCAAACAGATGGCGAGCATTAGTAAGATAATGCAAAACAAAACAAACTCTCAAAAAGGTTAACATTAAAAGAGCAGTTACCAACGTTAAAAACACCTGGTTAAACCTCATTAAAAGTTTCACCAAAACAGAAGGTGTTTCAAAATCCACAAAGTTGATAAAAGTTCTACAGTAAAGTAATCTATTGACATAAAACACCTGGTTAAAACTTACTGTATGTTAAAAGTTTTACCGGAACAGAAGGTGTTTTAAAACCAAAGTCAATAAAATTGTATCACAGAGTTAACCTTTAAAACAATCCCTCTGGATCACTCAGAGTTAAAACTATAAAAGTTAAAACTCTTCAAAAGAACGGGGTTGAAACCAAAATCTGAGGCCTGAAGGACAGCAGAACCCCTGCACTGCTGTCTCACAGACTGCTGAAGGCACAGCCTTTTTATCCAGGTGTTGGTCATCAACAGGATTCAGATCAGCTGTGCTCCTCAGCAGCCTGGAAGAGAGGAGGTGGAGGGGCAGTGTCAGGCTGATCACCGGGGCTGGGTGATCCTGGCTTCTTCATCCCAATGGCCAGGCTGGTAGCCGTAACACCATACCATGCCATGCCATACCAAACCATACCATACCATATACCATAAACAATACCATACTATACAAGATACCATACCATACCATTCCATATACCATACCATACCATAAAAAATACCATACTATACAAGATACCATACCATACCATTCCATATACCATACCATACCATACCATACCATGCCATGCCATGCCATGCCATGCCATACCATACCATACCATACCACACCACACCACACCATACCATACCATACCATACCATACCATACCATACCATACCATACCATGCCATACCATATCATGCCATACCATACCATGCCATACCATACCATACCAAACCATACATACCATACCATACCATACCATACCATACCATACCATACCAAATACCCTATACAATACCATACCATACAATATAATATACAATACAATACCATACCATTCCATAATTGCATAACTTATATCTCTTTTTTTCACCACCAAGTCTGGTGCTGTGCGGAGCGAGTCACTGTTGGCGGTGCGTTCCGGTATGGGTCTGCAATTTTCAGGCGAGCGTTTCTGTCGCGGTCGGCAGGCGAGGTTAAACGAACCATCATGCGCGATTCTATATATAAGTTGCGCAACTATTTAGTATTTGTGTGTTGCAATGAATGGTTTGCAGAAATAAAGACAGAAAAGAAATGCTTACCAACAGGCTCCACAAGTGATTCCAGAGAGCAGTCACTGAGTCCAGGTCTGCATTGCTACCTCGGTTTGCCAGTCTGTGACTATAAATAGCATTTAGTGTGTCTTAGTACCTTCGTGTAATTCTCCCATTTTCATTGTGAAAGAAAAAATTCCACTCTGGCAGTTTCTGTCCATAACTTTTCTATACTGGGCTTTAATTTCTTCAGCTTGGTCCGATATCATCGGGCATTGACTCTAATCTTTTGGCTGCCATTCGCTGAGAAAAAAACCCTTGTATTCCTTCCAAATCTGTTGACTCTCACAATGATGGTGAGGAATGTATAGAACCCTGAAGATGACCAAAACTTGCTGCTACTTGATACTTGCTAGCCTGCTGCTCTGCCCTGACCATACCACTTCAGAAATTTCTGGACCTACAACAGAAGGGGCCAAAAAGTCCCATGACTGGCGTGGTCCAGGTCAGTTTTCTGGACCAGTTTTACTACAAGGACAGAAAAATGAGTGAGCCGATCCTTCCCGTTTCATGCCAGAACGGTCGGTGGAAATTAGGCTTATACCACACCACAGCATAGCATAGCGTACCACACCATACAATACCATACCAGCATAACACAGCAGAGCATAGCATACCATACCTCACCGCACCTCACCATAGCACAGCATACCATACCAGTTTACTTTAACGTAGCAAAACTTTCAAAGTGCTGTACAGAGAAAAATGAAAACAAGAACACATTCAAAGAAATACATAATAAAAACAATGAATAAATGAGAAAATATTAAGAGTGTAGTCATAAAAACAGACAAACCAATCGCTAAGCATAAGATTAAAACCCAGCCGTAAATACAAGGATGTCAATATGAGTTGAAGCTACTTCTCCTGCATGTCTTTTTCCCCCCCCCACTTTGTCAATTTTTAAAACGTAGGCTATTTTGTATTGTCCTTGCCTTGAAAGAACCTTGTTCACTGTATCCTGCTGTGAATATTAAATGTGAACACAATACACATAATGGGAAACTTTATATCTGCCAACAGGGATGCATAAACACAATGCAAAAATGATTTTAAGAACAGTTTACTTCAACTAAAAGTCAAAAGCTTTTTTTTCTTATTTCTCACAAACAGTTGTTGCAGGGAAAGTCCATCCCTAAACTGGGATCACTGGACCAGATTGAAACAGGAAGTGGAGATGCAGAAGGACGTTACAGTGGCGACTGTGATGATGAAGATGGTTGTGGGGGTTCCGGTGGTGGCGAGGTGAAAAGGAAAATCGTCTCCAACAGTAAGTTTGATTAATTTTTTAATTGGTTTTTGATGTTTGATCAAAACTATTTATCCACCCAGAATAATAAAACCAGTACAGATCTGCATTGACAATATATTATCATTGATCATTTTCAATGTCAAAATAGTTCATTCTTCCTTTTACACTTTATTTAAAATAGCAAAATTTTAAAAGAAGATATTGTTTTTTTTTTCTTCTTAATCGGTAAGGAATACCAAAGGTGCAGTTACATGATACTATATTTTAATAAGACTGGCTCCAGTCCCTTTTTATGACAGCAGTAATAATAGTCATTAAAGATAATAGTTGCTATGGGGACATTATTGCAATCAAGGCCTGTAACTTCAAAAATTATTGCTCCTCAGTGGTTCAGCAACCCTCGATGAATCACAGCAGAGCTCTCCTCTTCCTTTCACACTTTTCTTTCAGCATATATCGATTTTCTTCCCTTTTCTTTCTTTTTTACCCTCCATCAAACATGCTAACAACCTGATTAATCACCTATCTTGCTTCGCCTATGGCAACACCAAGGAAGCCGGGGTCATCCAAACACACCATTCTGCCCATGAAAATGTTTCCTCTGCTGCTTGTCAGTGTGACTCGGGGCTTCGGCAGCTTAGGCTCAGGAAAGCTGTTTAACAATCGCTCATCTGAGGCTGTCGGGAGGCTCTGACATTCATCACCCATTACAGCTGAGCCGCCCTTTCCTTGTCACAGGCCAGATCAGCTTGTCTTCTGTATTTATGACCTGCTATCTGTGGTGACCTCCGTTGAACATCGAGTCCCCTGGTGCTTGACCCTCCCACCAACACCGAGGGCTCCCTTCAGGGTGGGACATTTCATTGGTTGCAGTAGGGTATTAAAGTGCTTACTATGTTAACAAATTATGACAAACATTTAATATGAAATATGAAATGTTTAGTTTAGTAGATTTTAAGTCAAGTCTCAGGCCAAGGTTACTAGAAGAAAAACAAATTCATTACTTGCTTTTTCTTTTAATTTGTAGCTCTTGTTTTGATTAAAAAAAATCAAGAGTCGGAAAAATAATGCTTTGTTGAATAAAAAGCATGAAAAGAACTCTTAAAATGTGAGGGTTATTAAAATCACAGAATTAGAATAATTGCTTTAGGGAAAAATTGGCAGAAATATTTGTATTTTTTGCTGAAGTGGAGTTATACGGCGGTTTTTTTTTTTTTCGTCAAAGTAGATTTGTTTTCCTTTAAAATTTTTTGAGTGGGACATAAGAGGTAGAGCTGAACACTATAAGAAAGTTTGGATAAAATGAACTTTTCAAGGTGAAACATCAAAAGGTTAGAAACATTTTTGAGATCTGCTGTGAATAAAACGGTTTAGTATATGTTGCTCTCTGTGAAACCTAGGTGTAGAGTTTTGGGAATTACATGTTTAGAATCAGAAGAGACACAGCTTCAAATGGGTGGATAGAATGTGCGAACAATTTGAATTTTAGCAGCGCTGAGACAGATATGTGGCGACACCACTCAACCCACTTCCTCACAAGAAGTGGGATGTCAGTTTACTCTTTTGGCTCTAGTTGTAGTCGTCTGTGGAACATGTAAAAAAGGTTAGCATGGTCTTGTAGCCGTGGTTGTGTGGTTTATTTAGAGGTGCAGGATGACAATATTTAATGAATTTTTGGAGGATCTTTGGGGCATGAACGTTTTTGTTAAATGGATTGCCCCCCATTTGGGGGCACTCGGGTTCCAACAATTGAAAATGTTCTCTTAAAATTTCCTCAATCAGAAAATCAGTAATTTTCTTACTATAGCCGAGGGGTCACCAACCTTTGTGAAGCTGTTCTACTTCATAGGAATTGAGCAACAAGAAGGTCGATACAAGAGTGACTTTTAAACTAGAGTAGACCAGAGTTAAGCTACGGCCCAATCCCAATACTCGCACTGCACCCTACGATCTTCTGTGAAGTGCACTTGGAGGAAGCACACAGTGAGGGTTCGAGTGTGTGGTACACAAGTGTGCAAATAATTGCCGAAATGGGACAGGGAGCATTGCTTCATGGACTGCAATGCATGCCAGGAGGCTGGTCGCTGTGCTACATAAAAAAAATAAAACCTTTATTAACAACATTCAAACAAACAACAAACACATTCTTTGAAAAAAATGTATACTGATTGCTGCTTTGTTTAAAACATTCAGAGCATCAATTCATTGTCCTAAAATGAACTACTTTCCTTTGAAAATACAGATTTTCAGAAAAGGCACTCAAGCCTTTTCTCCTGCAGCAATGGATTGTGGGTAATGCACTTCACCCAAATCTGCATCGATGCGGACTTGGGCGAAGTGCGGATCAAGGGTACAAAAGGGGTGTGATCAACTCCGGCACTTGAGAATCGCAACACCCTACACACTTGCCTAAACTTCATGAATAATAAACGTATTTTAAGTGACAATGTGTGTTTTCATTGGCGATAGGGGGCAGTGCATACCTAAATCATTGCAAGCAAGCAGCATATTTGTGCTGGAGTAAGACCTTACCAACAGATGGCCATCAGGGTCAAAAATCCCTGGGAGTGCAATCTCTAGCAAAATGACAAGCACATCAGACTCCCCTTCATCACTGACAGCAAGTTAATGAATGGTGAATGTTTTGTAACTGCTTGTTACAAATCTGTAAAAGCATTTTGTCCTGATGGGCTCCCGTAGCAAGAAACATGGCGTTGCCCAGAGACTTAGACTGGCTCCCATGTATGTTAGACCCGACTTTTATAGTTATATAATACAAACCCACCAATATTTTTCAACAACAGGGCATCATTTAATTCATTTTCAACAATATTTTGATAGATATTTACAGAGATTACAAATTGTCACTTTTAAATCTATATTAATGTTTTTGTGGTAAAATGGCAGCAGAGTTGTAGAAAAGGCCTGTGGGCACCTTATATGGTTGGTAATCCCTGTTATAGCAGATTTTCTTGTTTCCAATCTGTCTCTTCATCCTTTATACTTTACAAATCTTTGTTTTAGACGGCATTAAACATCCTGAAATGATGTGAAAGATTTGGTGTTGATTTTATGGTCTCAGGCTAGCCAGAGTGCTGCAGTTACCATAAAAACACACTCCATGTCACTCTTTGTCTTTGTTTTGACGGAGTGGCAGAAAACATAATGTGTGTGTAAATACTATTTTCAGTATGCACGTGTAAAACTGAACAAATCCGTGCTCCCAGTTAGAAAGTAAAATCCATGGATACAGATTTTTAAACCCTGTTTTCGAGTGACTATGAAAGTCGGCGCAGAAGTTTAGCGTCCCTGCATGGATTCTGTACAATGGTGTAAGGCGAGTACACAATCATTTTGTCAGCTTTTTCGGATAAATCAATAATCTGCCATGTTTTATATCATTTCCTAGTGCTGCTTGTTGAAACCTTGCTGGTACTCAAGCAGTAATAGAAAGTCAGCGTACCTTCTTTCTCTCTCTCTACTCACACTCTGTTAGTTGGGTAAGCAAAAAGAACAGGAAGATCTTTCTAAGGCTGCTCCTGATCTCAGTCTTTAGTTTTGGTGCATTCATATTTTTATTTTATTTGGAGCTAATCACAAAGTTCTGGATTACTTGAAGTCACCAAAGCTTCTTTGAACAACAGACTTCAAAAATAACTTACCATGAGGCAGAGAAGATTTACTTTTAATGAATCCTGTTAGTTTTGTGTGTGTGTATGTGTGTGTGTGTGTGTGTGTGTGTGTGTGTGTGTGTGTGTGTGTGTGTGTGTGTGTGTGTGTGTGTGTGTGTGTGTGTGTGAGAGAGAGAGAGAGAGAGTGTGTGTGTGTCTGCAGCAGACACAATTTAAATAAATGAGAACCGGAAACAAGCGCCGTTACACAAGTGCTTGCAGTTGAGATCAAATCCTCTGAGTTGATAGAATCTCTGCAAATACAAGATGGAGGAAACAAATGAAACTGAAAATTAACTGAATATTTGTGAGTGAATAAAATCCCTGGCAAAGAGAGAAAAAAACTGAGCAAAAATGGGTGTGATTTATCTTTATTTTTTCTGGGTTTCTACAGAAAATGAATGGTTCAAGGATAACTAATGCACATTTTTCCTGTTTCAGTTTTTTAGTGTGCCAATCAATTGAGGTAGATTGGCCACAGCGATCATCAGATTCTGAGCTTAAAGACCATATTTAATATAACTGGATTTTTTTCTGCAGTCCTTCATAATCTCTTTCTTTTGCGACTTTGATGTTTATCTGCAGAACATGCAGATGATAGAACTGTGTGAGAAAGAAATCAACTAAGACAAGCTCAAAACTGACAATACAAGCCTGATTTAAAGGATTATTCTTATTATGCAAAACTGCTGCTGTGTGAAAAAGTTCTGTACGTGATGAGGAGCAACAATGTGAGCAGCTCATGCTTCAGTAACTTCAGGTATTTTAAATATTTAATTACTCTGGCACCACATTTTTTCTTCATTTGTCATTTCCTGCCTTGCATTCCAGATTGCCTTTTCTTCCACCACACAAACGTCGGGCTAATTTATTTTTTTGGGGTAAATCCAGAGAAAACACTGAAAGCACACAATGAAAACAGAAGATTGATTCAGTTCAGTAGGCTCATTATAGGAGTGCACTGACTCCTCACAGCTCATTGAGTAACACTGACTCAGGAAACACAAACTTAACACAAAGACTGAGCACAAATTCAGAGTCATTCATGCAGTTTTCCTCCCATATCAGTGTGTTTCCCCTGTCGGTGCACACCTGTCTATTTCTTTAATACACACACATCTTTTTATTTAATTAAACCTGGCATACAGTTATATCGTCTGCCTGCTGCAATAAAACACTTTAATTAGATTTTTCATCACCACAGTCTGCAATGCATTTAAATAGGTGTGTACAAACTGTCTATGTTTTTATTGCACACACTCCAAACAAGTGACATCCTATAACTAACAACAGGAAAAGCCATTTAAGCTTAAATATCCAGAACTTTATTTCTCTTATTATTCTTCA